AAGAAAGAAGAGGAGGAGGAGGAGGAAGAAAAGACGGAGGTGGATGTTGGACTCTTTTCTGAATATTACTCTAGAGCGCTGAGAAGCCAAAGGAAAGGGAAGAAAACAAGAAATTAAGGAGCTGAATAGAAAACTTCAAAGGGCACCTCAGGAAGACAAAGTAAAGTATTATAATGACATATGCAAAGAGCTGGAGACTGAAAATCAAAAGGGATGAACTTGCTCATCATATCTTAAACTGAAGGAACTAAAGAACAAATTTAAGCCTCGAGTTGCCATACTTAAGGATGCTGTGGGCAGCATGTTGAATGGTCAAGGAGGCATCAAAAGAGGATGGAAGGAGTACATAGAGCCACTGTACCAAAAAGAATTGGCTGACACAGAGGAATTTAATGAAACAGCATAAGATCAAGAGGCAATGGTGATGAAGGAGGATGTTGAAGCTGCTCTGAAAGAACTGGCAAAAAACAAGGTGCCAGGAAATGATGGAATACCATCTGACGCTTTCAACAAACAGATGCAGACCTGGAAATGCTCACCAGGGTGTCCCAAGAAATCTGGAGGAAAAGTACCTGGACAAATGACTGGAAGCATCCATATTTATTCCCATTCCAAAATGATGTGATCCAACAGAGTGTGGAAATTATCAAACAATATCACTACTGTCACTTGCAAGCATGATCCTGTTGAGGATTTTATCCACAAACGACTGGAACAGTACATCAACTGCCAGATGTGCAAGCAGGGTTTAAAAGAGGCCAGGGCACGAGGGACATTATAGCTAATGTTCGATGGATCTTAGCTGAAAGCAGAGAGTACCAGAGGAATGTCTCTCTGTGTCTCATTGACTATGAAAAGGCATCTGACACTGTGGATCACAGCAACTTGTGGCTGACCTTGAGAAGAATGGAGATCCCAGATCACTTGGTTGTGGATTTGACACAGTGACCACAACAATGGGCTTAATCACGGCACAGACACTGCGTATGGCAAAGGTGTGGGCAAGATTTCAATAAACTGTCCATCAGGTCACTAACAGAATCAACTTGAGGACACTAAACAATAACAACAACAAAAATGATGCATTTTTACAGGAGGCCCTTAGTGACACAATGGTTAAACACGCAACTCTTAGCTGGAAGGCTGGTGGTTTGAACCCATTGGGGGCATCTTGGAAGACAGGCTGAGTCTTCTGAAAGGCCACAGCTTTGAAGACAGCGTGTAGCAAGTCCTACTCTGCAGATGTGGGCCTGCTGAGTCTGAATTGACTCCACAGCAACTAACAGCAAAGAGTTCACCTTCCTATGATATTTAATCCAACAGGTATCTGAGTACCTATAATATCCCATGGTGCATTCTCAGCTTAATCTCTGAGGGCTGTGTTTCTTGCAGAGGAAGCAAAGATGAGCTGGTGTGAACAACTCCACAACTGGCCAAGTGTGGATGTTATAACATTTTGTTGTTATTAGGAGCTGTTGATTCATAGACAACTCATAGCGACCATGTGAACAAAAGACCTGAACACTTGTATAACTTTCATCCTTTCTCAATGTTCATAGTTTCCGGAGGCAAGCTATTTCAGAAGTGGATACCACTCCTGCTTCCAAGCTTGTTTTAATCGGTGAGTGCCACCAAACACTGTCCGTCATGGGTAACCATTAGTGCATTTGACACATCAGTGTCACAGTGTTCAGCTTCACAGCAACCACGAGTTACTTTTATACAGCAAATGGACAGACCAGTGCTGTATCCCTTAGATGAACATTTGACCAAAAACAATTAAGACCAGGCCTCAGGGCCGCAGATTAAAACCACCCACCTTTGGCTTGGTAGCATCACTTTTTGTCTACTAGGCCAACTGAGCTAGGTTCCTTAAAAGTGTTCTGGAGGATTTGAACTTGAAGTTCCAATGGAAGGACTTGTGGGTGTGACTTAGAGAAGAGCCAGGATTCAACAAGGCCTAAGAGCTTGCTCAGCGGTAGGCCACACGCCCCCTCTCTTCAGGGCAGGGCTGGACTGCAGGAATGGAGACAGATCCTGGCTTTAGCATTATTTATCATGATTGTTGTGTAGTGTGGAGTCAGAACCAACTCCTAGTTGACCCAGCAGCAGGTTTTGAGAGGCGATAAATCACATGGGAGGAGAATGTCCATCTTTCTCCCGAGGAGCAGCTGGTGGATTCGAACCAAACAGCTTTGGGTTGTGGGAGCTAGTCCCTAAGTCACCGGAGCATTCATTAGCGCCATCACTGCTGCACAACCAGGCTTGACATTGCTACAACTGGGAAACTGAGCATACACCTTGGGAAGAAACTGAGCATACACCTTGGGAATATCCTGAGAGCGCAGATGGCTAATGCTTTGGGCTGCTACTGGAAAGGGTGGAAGTTCAGGCCTACCCAGAGATACTTCAGAAGTAAGCATTTATTTTCCTAGGGATCTACGTTCAAAAGGTGACAAACATTAAAAAACCCAGTGGAGCTCTGCTCGGCTGTGACACATGGGTTGTTATGCGTTTTCGGGTCAGCTTGACAGAAGCTGGTGTGATTCTTGGTGTCCTTGCCTGACAGAGATTAGCCTGAGTTGAGTTACACAGCTCCTGGAGGGTCAGCTCAAGGCATGGAGCAAACAGCTGTGCTTGATAACCATCCCACCATCCCTGCTTCCCTCCTCCTATTCCCGCCACCTGCATTGCTTTCTGGGAAACTCTGGCTACACATTTGCTGCACTGGCAGTCACCACCAGAGAGCTGACAGAATGAAACACAACCAGAGAGATGAGTCACTGGGCCACACAGACTGAAGGCCAAGCTGGGAGCAGGTTTCACTGCCTCCGCTTTGCTCACATCTGTCACTGGACAGTGGACACAAAAGGGGACCCATGAGTCATCTTACCTGGGGGTCCTGGAGGACCTGGCAGCCCGGGAGGGCCTGGGTAACCAGGACAGCCCTTTGACCCAGGGGGCCCCACGACATTCTCTCCTGGTGGTCCTCGCTCTCCTTTGCTTCCTTTCACACCCGGTGGTCCAGGGCCTCCTCTCAGGCCAGGGTGAGAAGCCCCTTAGAGAAAAGAAACATGTATCACATCTTCATTTCCCCCCAATTAATGTATATTTTACTTTTTCATTACCAAAAAAGTGGTGTAAGGAAACCATACTCACCACCCAAGCAGATATGTGCACACCCATGTTTATCATGGCTTTGTTCACAGTAGCAAAGAGTTGAAAACAACCTACATGCCCATCAACAAATGAATGGATAGAGAGGCTGTGGTATATTCACACAATGGAATACTATGCTGCATTGAAAAACAAGGAACTCATGCAATATTATGCAAAATGGATGATCCTGGAGGACATTATGCTGAGTGAAATATCTCAGTCACAAAAGGACAAATATTGCAAAGGGCCACTGTTGTAAAATGGGACTGATATCGGGGTTGAGGGAAGACAGAAAACGAGGGGAGGAATGATGCATCTGCATTGAAACAGACGAGGGCGAGAACTGTTTTAAAGGGATATATGAATGGGTATTCTTGTCATGACAGAAGTCCAGAGTGAAGGCTGCATAGTGGTGTGGACTTGGGGGACAGGATTGCATAACAACAAAATAGTTTGTCTGTTACTTTTCAAATAAAAGAGTGAGTTGGGGAGGAGGGGGTGGGCAGGGAGAAAAGTGCAACAATGAATGGCTGGAAACACTAAGTCTCTGTAAACTCATTAAAATTAAGAAGAAAAAAAGTGGTGTATGTATATTTATGAAAGTTGTACAAGTTACTTTATATAATAAAGTACACAAGATGAAAACAGCCCATATTTGCTTCCTTTATCCACGGCCTTGATGGTACAGGAAGGCTCAGAATGTGCTATTCCCACCAGATCACCTAAACTGTTACTAAAATAGAATCTGGTGTGCCCTGAGGCCTCTGTTTAAAAATATTAAGGAGAAATTCTTGAATGCATGCCATTATGTAATTATTTTTTTCTTTAATAGATGAATGTTTCTCTCAGTGCTGCATCCAAGAAAGATAAAGCCAAGCAGAAACAGGACTTTATCCCCATGAATTAGGTGTGCAAGGAGGTGATGGAGAGAAAGGTTTCTCCTGGGAAAGTGTCACAAACTCGTTCGCTGCCTTAGCGGAGAGGGACAGGAGGATGAGAAAGGAGACATCACTCTTGGAAACAACTTTAAGTGAGATTGTTTGGATGCCCCTTGAAATGACAATATGGCTCTTTTGCCATTGTGTGTGTGTGTGTGTTGTTTTGTAGTTTAGAGTTCTAGGTGGAGGATGAACAGAGAAGAAAATGTGCAACGATGAATGAATGAATGGAAAACCAAGTTCTTTATAAACTTTCATTAAAATCTTAAAACAAAAAGAAAAAGAATATTTTAGGGTTCTGGCCAAAGATTAGAGAAAATTCCAATTGTTAACAGCATATACAAGTATATGTAAAGTTTATCTAGTCATCAATCTCTTGTTTGGCATGGGATTATAATAAACATACAGTGCTGTTATCTGCCTAATACTTGTTACTCTCATGTGCCATCAACTTGCCTTCGACTCAGAGCGACCCTAAGTACAACAGCCCTGAACCCTGCTTTATCCTGAGTCAACCTTATTGGCGCTGACATCCCCACCCCCATTACCCCAGTCACTCCATCTCACTGAGGGGCTTCCTCTCTTGTACTGTCCCTCCATCCTCCCAAGCATAATGTCCCTCTCCAAGGACTGGTCTCTCCTTATAACATGCCCAAAGAATGTCAGACAGAACTTCAGAATCCTTGCCTCCAAGGATCTGACCCTCTCCAGGCTGAACCTGGATGTTCTCCTAACAGTCCATGGTACATTCAATACTCTTCTCCAGCACCACAGCTCAAAGGCGTCAATTCTCCTTCTATCCTCCCTAGTCACTGTCCAGCTCTCTAATGCATAGCAAGTAATTACAAAGACCATGACCTGGATCGGCATACCTTACTCTGCAGACTAACAGTAGCTTGCCTCAAAATCATAAAACAGCTGTGAAGATGTAAAATCATACAGAGAAAAACCCAGTGAGCACTACAGAATTCGCTACTCTGCCTAATCAAATGCTTGTCTTTTCTTTTTGGTTTTAAATGTTCTTTCCTTTTAAAATAAGACCCTTGACAGTTACAGCCGAGGCCGCTGGGATCCCCATCCCTGAGGCTTGTTCATCCCTATCTCGCTCAAGAAGTAACTGCTCCAAGGACTTTCTCTCTTTTTTTTACGTTGTGGTTTGAGTGAAAGTTTACAACGCTGATTGGTTTTTTATTTACACAGACACATTTTGTTTATAACATCACTGTCAACCTCCACACTGTAATCATTTCCCACCTCCTCCCTGTAATTCTCACTTTCTCGTATTAATCCTCCTATCCTAACCCTTCCTGTCTTCGGGACTTCAGACTTGTTCCGATGCTGCTCTTTTGACCATAAAGCAGCCACTATTCTAAGGAGTGAGTGGCACCCTGGTGTGCTTTAAAAACTTATGGGTGCTTTTTACACTTCTAAGATTGATCTATGTTATCTCTAAATAGTATAAAATGAAAACATTTATATAAAAGGTATATATATATGATCTATACATATGTATAGAAAAGGTACATATATCTTTGCAATTACTTGCTATGCATCAGAGAGCTGGACAATGACTGAGGATGACAGAAGAAGAATTGATGCCTTTGAGTTGTAGTGCTGGAGAAGAGTCTTGAATATACCACGGACCACCCAGAGAACTAACAGCTCTGTCTTGGAGAGGGTGAAACCAAGTTTCTCCTTGGAGGCAAAGATTTTGAAGCTCCGTCTCATGTACTGTGGGCACATGGTCAATAGGGGCCAGTCCTTTAGAGAAGGACATCATGCTTGGAAGAGTGGAAGGACAGCACAGGAAAGGAAGACACCAGATGAGATGGATTGACACAGTAACTGGGGCAATGGGGACCTAAGTGTGTCGAGGTCGGTGAGACTGGCTCAGGACGGGGCCGAGTTCAGAGCTACCGTACATAGGATTACTATGAGTTGTAGGCTACTCGAAGGCACGTAAGAGGTGCATTTCTACACACTCTTCCACCACCTCTTTCACTGACAGTTACAAAAATAATTTAGACACTGGATACCATTTTAAATGAGTCAATGGAATATCTCTTATACACGCCTATACAAACTTAATAGAACACAGTGCATTTTCCCTTTAAAAGCATTTCTTAAGAAAATATATCCATACCAGGGCTCCCAGGAAGTCCAGGAGGGCCAATGGGACCTGTGAAGACATAATACTAATAAACTACTTACAAAAGGTAGAACTTCTCACACTCCATTTTTAGAATGCTGTATGAGGTGGTTAAAGAATTCTACTGCTAACCAAAAGATCAGTGGTTCAAACCCACCAGCTGCTCCACAAGAGAAAGACGTAACAATCTGCTTTTATAAAAATATCTAACCTTGGAAACTCTACGGGACACTTTAAATGTCTTACAGGGTTGCGATGAGTTAGAATCCATTTGTTGGTAATGGATTTAATTTTGTTTTTGGATGACAATATAAATATATTTCATATACCATCCCTGGAGGTGTAATGTGTAATATGTAGGGCTGGCAGTCAAAAGGTTAGCAGTTCTAACCCAGCAGGTGCTCAATACACAAAAAGTGGATAGTCTCTTTCCACAAAGATTTACAACCAGGGATACCTGATAGATAGTCACAATGAGTTGTGGGCTTGACTTGGGTGTTCACATTTCATATGCTTGATCCACTCTCATATAATATTGGAAAATTTCCATTCTTTATGAAGACAGACTCAGAAAAAATAATAATCTGAGATTTAAAACTCAGAAGTAAACCATGCTCCATGTAATTTTTTTAATAGAAGAGATATTTTAAAACCCGCTCTGTGTTTGTAGTTTCTGGAGCTGAGATGCAAAAAAGACAAATGAGGGCAGTATCGCCACGAGGCTGCATCTGGCCGTTGGTCTGTCCAGGCTCTTAGACATGAACAGTCCACCATGTTCTAAATCACCGATATACAAGAAGGATTTAAAGTAAGTGTTAAAAGCACCATGGAATTTCTACAAAATATAACAAGAGTTTTATTCAGATTTAAAGATTTGCAAGTGGAGAAGTGACAAAAATGAAAGCTCAGAACAGCATCTGGAAGAGAAGAAAAGCACATGTGATTTATGAGAACTTTGTTCGCAGAGGGGAAAGAGCACAGCACATTTGATGGGCTGACGTTCAACACGCCCTGTAAGACTCACTAATCAAGAATTCTCTTGGCTGGTTCTCAACCTCAGCCACAACAGCCTGTGTCCAGAGTGGGCCACCTACGAAGGTTGTTGTTGTTAAGTGTCATCCAAGGAATGCTGTAGAACAAGCTATTTTGGTCAAAACTGTGGTCGTGGACCACTTATGCTAAAAAGCAGAAGCCAGGGCCTGTGATAAAATGAAATCTGACTCATCTCTCCTTCAACCATTTCTGTGTGTTTTTTTTTTTCATAAATGTTAACAGACTTTAGGGAGTATTGTTGGAAGAAAGATGGGGTCATATGTAAAGAATTACAACCTTGGAAATGCTATGGGACAATACTACCCTGTCCCACAGGGTCACTATGAACCAGAATGGACTCAATGGCAACACGACAGATATGGCATATTTCCAAACATACCATGGACTGCCAAGAGAACAAACAGGTCTGCCTTGGAGAGGGTGAAACCAGGTTGCTCTTTGGAGGCAAAGGTTTTGAAACTCCATCTCACACGCTTTGGGCACGTGGCCAGGAGGGACTAGTCTTTGGAAGGACATCAAGCTTGAACGGGCAGAGGGTCAACGCAGGAGAGGAAGACCCTGGATGGACTGACACAGTGACTGCGGCCATGGGGTCAGGTTTGTCAGAGACAGTTAAGGTAGTTCAAGATAGAGCTGGGTTCAGAGCCATTGTTCAGAGGGTCGTTAGGTGTCTAGTTAACGTGATGGCACCTAACAATGTGGGTCCTAATTTAAATACATGGAATTTAATGTAATTAATTAAAATAAATGGATTTTTTCTTAAGTAAAAATCTCATTTGAAATCTTATTTATGTCAATAATTAAGATCTATTGATTTTAAAAGGACCTAAACAAATGGTCACAATCCTGGCATCACATTAGAATAATCCAGAGAATTTAAAAATCTCCCAGCACCCAGGACTCTCTTTGAGGTCAGTTAAATGAGGTCTCAGGGGCTGGGCCTTGCCACAGTAAAGTTCTTGGGGATTCTAGTGGGTAAGCAGAGATAAGAACAAATGCTTATTGAAAAACAAGGAACTCATGAAATATTATTCAAAATGGGTGACCCTGGAGGATATTATGCTGACTGAAATATCTCAGTCACAAAAGGATAAATACTGTATAGTGCCACTGTTGTACAATGGGACTAACATAGGGGTTGAGGGGGAGATTGAGAAAGATGGGATAAATTAGGTATACTGCATTGAAACAGATGAGAGAGAGAAATGTTTAAAAGGTATATATGATTAGGCATTATTGTCATGACAGGAGTCCAGAATGAAGGCTGCACAGTGGAGTGGACTTGTGGGGAGGGATTGTATCACAATGAAAGAATTTTTCTTTTTGTTTTCAAAGAGAAGAACGAACTGGAAGGGAGGGGTGGGCAGGGAGAAAAGTGCAACAATGAATGAATGGAAATCCAAAATCCCTGTAAATTTTCATTAAAATTAATAATAATAAAAAAGAGTAACAACGTAAAAAAAAATAAAAAGAACAACTGCTTGAAACTTTATGCTCCCTTACACGAAGATCAGTGATAGCACTGTGGCAACTATGAAAATGGACCTCTTTACAGCAAACGGCAATGGGCTGAGCTGAGCTGATGTCACAGAGGAAAACGAACCACTGCCGGAGGAGATTCTGATTCACAGCAATGCTCCACCGGGTTTCTGAGGCGGGGAAGCTTACAGGAGGAGACAGCCTCATCTTGTTTCCTTGAGCCAGCTCCTGGGTTTAAACTACTGACCTTTTGTTTAGCCGCAATACCCCAGGGACGGACGGGGTGTGTCATTGTTTAGAAAGCAGTGAGTGTCAGATTACAGTAGTAGACAATTTGCCAATGATTGATGGTATTAGTTGTACAACATAATTAGTATAATTATATGAAATTGTACACATGGAAAACAAGGAATTGACAGAAGTTTTACATATTCTTTTAACACTATTTTTTTTTAAATACTCCTTAAATTGCTTTAGATCTATAATCACATGCTGTACCATGTGATCATAACAACGAGTAAATGCTTTGAGAAGTGTATTCTCACCCTGCGGGCCTTGAGCTCCCTTGCGCCCCGGTGGGCCGGGCCTTCCTTCATCCCCCTTTTCCACATGCACATCGTAATATTCTGTCTTAAAGAAGAAAGACAAGGATAAAGACTCAGGCTCACCACTGACGGAGAGTTCACTAAATGCAACAATTTCTTAACACTTAAGTCTTGCTTTGGACTCAAAAAATACTATTTTAATACTTTCCTGAATTCATAGTTTTATTTATTAGCAAGAATCTAAATTTATAAATAAAATTTACCTTTCTGGTATAATAATATCAACGGATAGGTAATGGATTAAATGTTTAATGAATTTTTAAATTACAAATATATTTTATAAAATAGTCCCATATATATGTCCTGCATTTTTATGCAATGTGAGCTTTTGCAAACTTTACAACTCTCCTGAAGACTAACTTCAATGTATCCTAAGTGTCTATATACTGGTCCAATAAACATCATGATGATTGGGTGAAAGATGGAAGTTGTTAAGGATTTTATCTTCCTTGGGTTCACGATCAACCTCCATGGCAACCACAGTCAAGAAATACCCAACACGTTGGGCAAAGCTGCTGACGAGGGGCTCTTTAAAGTGCTAAAGGGCCAGGAGGTCAGTTTAAAGACTAAGTTGGGCCCAATCCAAGCCATAATAGTTTCTGTTGCTTAATATATTTGTGGAAGTTGGACAATGAGTAACGCAGACCTATGAACTGATGTATTTGAGCTACGGTTTTGGCAAAAACATATGGAATATCCCCTAGATTACCAAAAGAAGGACCTATCTTGGAAGAAGTACTGTCAGGGTGTTCCTTGGAAACAAGAAGAGTGAGACTTCATGTCATATCCTTTGGACATGTTCTCTGGAGGGGCCAGTTCTGTGAAAACCCTACCCTGCTTGGTTAAAGGGGTTAAAGAAAGAGAAGACTGAGGGATTGACACAACAATGGGCTTCAGCTGCAACCGTGGGCTTAGGCATAGCAGAGATGGTGAGGCTGGGCCATGCTCCACCTGTGTACACAGGGTCACTGTAAGTTGTAATCAACTTAATGACACCCAACAACAACAACAGGCAGAAGGAATGACTCTACTTTGTTTTCTATTCTACCTTTCTTTTTAAATATACTGGTCCTGTCTTATCAATTGCAATATATAGTTGGGCCCTACATGTAAATAAATACTGGTATATGTTGCTTCCCGAAAGGTCAAGACATCATCAATTTGCAAGAACTGGTGACTCTTGTATGTGGCATGCCTGGGAGGGGGACAGATGGCTGACTGCTCGCCCCCTAAGCCAGCAGAACTTCTCTGAAGTTAGAAACGGCAAACAGGCACATAGAATTGGGCCCAAGAAAACACCCAGGGAGGCAGGGATGCTAAGCATTCTTGAGAAGTGCAACTAGCAAGCAGACGCCTCTTAGAGTTCAGCACGTGTCTTGACAGGAAAAAGATAGAATTAGAAAAGGATTTTAGCGACCCTTTTGCTTTGTTTTCTCATGTGCCACACGGAGCCAAGTATTCTGTTGATTTGTTTAAAAACAAGAAGAGCCATGTCATGAATTAAAATGCATACAAATAACAGAAAGATTCTCAATGGTATGAGTACAGGATGCCACCCCAAAGTGTGCCTGCTGAATTTTAGTCATTGAGCTAGGGACTTCTAGAAAATATACTGTTTAATTTTCGAAGTGACCCCATTCGCGTGTCTTGGGATGACCAGCATTAGAGTCACTTGCTCTTTATGTAGAGATGCAGCTTTCAAATGCTTTTACTAGTTCTTAAGTGAACTGACTTGTTCTGGAGGCCCTGAGGGCTGCACTTTTGCAAGGACCTCTCTCCTCCAGCGTGAATATTCCACTCTGCCCCACATGCACAATCACTTCGAGTCTCTTTTGAGCAGCAAATATACAAGTGGCAGGATTCAGTGCCTGGGTCCGTTTCCTCCTCCCCTTAACTTTTGGAGCTACAGAATACAGAACGTGGCCAGCCTAGCCATTAAATGCAGGTCCACCTCTGGGGTGGAGCTTGGCTAGGCATGATGTTTTTTCTGGTCCTTCCTTGGGCCTTTGGCTGAGCAGGTGTGGTCATAACCTAGCCAGGGAAGAGGTCAAGGAGCTGGCCCCCTCCTTCTTTGAGGGTAGGGTGTTGGATCTTCTTGGGACAGGTGTGATTAGACAAAGGATAGGCAACACTGATGCATTTTAGGAAACAAATAGGAAATATAAACAGACAAATAATCACAATAGTTATTCTTATCCTGGCTTATTTAAAAATAATGCATTAAATATAATATTTTAACAATAATGTAAACAGTATTTAATGTATTCAGTACAACAGTTAATGAGAGACACTGCTCTAACATTTCCTTGATACTTTGAAGGATTTGATTGAACATGATATTGATATTGAATAGACTTACTGGACCACGGAATCCTGGAGGGCCCACATCCCCTTTCCACCCCTGTGATAAGAGATACAACTTATGAGTACATTCCTGCACTATATTATGCTTTTAGTGAATCTCAAAGCAAATACACAAATGGACAATAAAACAGTGCTTAAATTCATATGAGTTAGAAGTCATGCACAAAACCAAGTGAAAGGAAATTGGAAAGTAATGTCTTTTTCTGGAAGGTCAGGTATCCTATCTAAGGGGTCTTGAAAAGTAGTTGTTCCCTAGTCATTCTCCGAATGTCTTCCATGCTCCAGCATCAATGGATGATGGAAATACACACTCCTGTGTTCTCACCCAGACCAGAGACCCAGGAGAACCAGGCAGTTCTCACCGCCACCACCCTCTTCCTCCTGCCTCAAAGAGAGAATCTCATTATTCAAGCGGTTGGGAATGATGCAATTTTAAGAGAAATTTTAATCTGCATCTATACCGACCTAGTTGAAAAGTATTTGAAAATGTGAGAACTGTGTTATCAGAAACAAAAGCACTGGATTATAATTTACAATGAACTGATGTCATCTTTTTAGTGCATCATGACTTAGGCTGAAAGTCACTGGGCCCTGTCTACACTTGACCTCTAACCTCCAGAAATATCCTATTGCTCACATCCCTTCTGGAGGCAGAGCTGAATATCAGTGGACCTAAAGCTTTCACCTGCAATTGCACGGAACAAGTTTTAATAGTTTTCCCCTAAGGCCTTTCTTCAAATGTTTCATTTGGATGGTAAATGTTAAATTCGTCTCTTGTCTTCTTAATAAATATTCTAAGACACTGTAATAAAGTCCATGCGTACAGTTCTTGGTGTCTCATTCCACTGTATGGGAAATGGTAAGAGAAGGTAAAATTCAACCACTTTAAGAAGCCAGCATCCGAAGACGACAGTGAGGAGGTTACCTTTAAGCCGTATTCTCCAGTTAACCCAGGGAAGCCTCTGTCACCCTTGGCTCCCTATGGAAGAGAATAAAGTAGAATAGACTGAACATTCCTGCTGCTTCTGTAGGAAACAAGAACACTGAGATTCATTTTTTTTTATCAGAAGGGCGTGTCTGTGTGACTTCTGTCTACCAAGATGGTGGAAAACTATGAATCTCAAATGTCATTTCTAAATTAAAGGTTTTTGCTAGATGTTAACTACTTGGACAAAACAATCAAATTGGTTACTGTCTAGGTGATTTCCACTCATAATGACCCACCCGAATCAGATTAGAACTGTGTTCCATGTGGCTTTCAATGTCCACTTTTTGGAAGTACATTGCCAGATGTTTCTTCTAAGGTACATCTAGATAGACTTGAACCGACAACCTTTTTGCTTAGCAGCGGGACATGTTACCCTTTGCACCCAAGCCCAAACCCACTGTGGTGGCATCAATTCCAATCCACAGAGACTCTATAGGATTTCTTGCTGTTGTTGTTGTGTGCCGGTGGTTGGAGCCAAGCCATCGCTGACTCTCTAGCTGATTTTCAGAGGCAGTTTATCCCATGGAAGGAGACGGCCTGTCCTTCTCCTGCAGAGTGGCTGGTGGATTCAACTGTGTGCCTTGGAGATGACAGCACAGCTTCTTACCACTAGGCCACCAGAGCGCCCTATCCTAGCTCCTAAGGTTTCTAGGGCAGGAAACTTGACTGAAGCAGACAAGCACACCCTCCTACGTGGAGCAGAAAGGTCTTTCTACCATGGATCAACCGGTGAGTCCCAACCACTGACCTTTCAGTTAACAGCTAAGTGCTCTAACCACTGGGCCATCAGACCTTTTACAGCTACCTTGTGGCTCCCAGAAGTCCTTTATAGAGCAGTCCCAGCATTTTCACTACACTGATGGTTGACAGGCCAAATCATTTCTTTACCTGAGTGCCAGGAAAGCCGGGGGCACCATCTTTTCCAGGCTTACCCTGAAATTTAAAGAAAAAAGTAAATATCTAACTGTGGACTACTACTGCTCATGTCATGCAGACCATTCTGCTCCACGGGGATCCTGAAGGACATAGAGAACCGTCCCACACGGTGTCTAGCGCTGTAAATCTTTATGAAAGCAGATTCCCTCAATCTTTCTCCATGAAGCAGCTTATGGACTCAAACCATCAACCATTTAGTTAGCAGCTGACTGTCTTAACCACAGTGACAACTCTCAAAAAATGCTCACGCTCATTTCTGTGAGTCAGAGCCAAATCAGAGCTGATCCTACGGTGGGTTTTCGAAGGCTCTAGATCACAGGGCAGGCAACTGCCTGTCCTTCTCCCGCAAAGCCGCCGGGAGATTTGAACCAGTTGCCTTTAGGTTAGGACAATTCCTTACAGACTAGGCCACAGTGGCGTCATCAGGGCTATAATTTATAATCAAGAGTAGCTTTAATTAACATGGAAAATGTCAAGGATATAATCATCTCCTGTTGACATCAGGCAGAAGAATTGAGTGAGATTGCCCACCCATTTTCTAGAATTAAAAGCTTCATAGTAAAGGCAGGAGGCAGTTTGATGGGAATTGAGGAATAATCCAGGGACAAAAGAGAAAAGAATGAAGAGCTAAGATTTCATCCTTCTGACCATTCTAAGCCTAGAAGAAAAATCAAAGAAGCATTGTGCTAAGAATTGAATAAGAAAACCCAGAAAGAGGAAGGGGCTCATAGTCAGTTTACTTTAAATAGTGGAAATTCTTCAAACCCTGATATCTATCTATCTATCTATCTATCTATCTATCTATCTATCTATCTATCTATCTATTGTTATTGTTGTTGATTGTATTCAAGTCAAGCACGACTCATAGTGATCCTATGAACAAAATGCCTGAAGCCTCTCTACAACTATTGACATTTATCAGAGTTCATAGAGTTTCCAGAGACACGATAGTTAGGAAGGGCTGCCACTCCAGCTTCTAGTATATATATATTGGAATATATATATATATATATATACACACACACACACACACACAAACTACATTGTACTCCTCAAATGGAGATGGAGTTTGCTAACTCCTGTCGTATTTACCCTCCTTAACAGAATTAAAAATCTTGCTGATTGACTATTCACTTAAGCAAAAAAATCATAAACTTATCTCAATATATCATTTTTGGGGTTTTTTAACAATAGTCTTCCCCAGTGGAGGTGCCTGGATTGGGTACCCCTGTTGTGTCTTCTATCTTCCCAGCATGCCTTGCTGTCCACTGCTGGTCCCCCCAGGTCTCTCTTCCTGTGGGAACTGCCTCTCCCTCAAGCCTTGTCATTCTGAGGGGGCTGTCAATCACAGTAGCCCCCAGCCCAACCAGCCTGGTCAAACATAGGACCTTTTTTTCCCCTTCCTGGTCATAGGAATTTTTCTGAGTCATACATATGACCCAAGTAAGGCCAATTAGACAGATTCTTCAGGATTTTATACAGTAACATCTACAAATCTGTGTAGGGCAGAAACCTACTAGAGAGTGTAAACATTTTCCATTCAAAAGAGCAGCAGACAAGTGGTAAGAAGGCACTCTGTCAAAAAGGCAGAAACCTGGTAGACTCAGGAAAACAAGGCGGTTCTGAGTTCTGGTTCTCACAGGCCTCACAGTACATGAACACAGAGAAGAAAACACTGTCTCCTCTGCTACTGTTCATCTGAAGATTTTGCTGTTACAGCCTCGTCCCTTCCTCTCTGCGGGTAGAAGAAGGCCAACCAAGGAGAGAACAGACACAGCAGGAGACGTGGAAAGGGAGAGTGGTTCTCTACTCTCAGGCTCTGAGGCCCTATAGCTCATCTCAGCCCCGGACTGTTTCAGAGACGTAAGCACAGACCTTCTTTCCAGTCTTTTCCTTCTTTCTTTTAACCTTCACAGTGAAGCTACTTTAAGTTGGACTCTTGACTTAACACAGGCTGCACGAGACACTGAATTCCCAAATTTACCTGCCGGCCAGGGTCTCCAGGAGGGCCTTTTTCAGATCCATAGGATTCTCCAGGTGGTCCCTACGTTAAATACAATGATGCCAAGTCTTAGGGTTTGTTTGGTGTTTTTTTTAATTTTTTAAAATTAATTTTAATGAAAGTTTACAGAGACTTTGGATTTCCATTCATTCATTGTTGCACTTTTCTCCCTGCCTAACGCTCCCCCTCCCCACCAGTTTGCTCTTCTCTTTCAAAAGTAAAAGAAAAATTCTTTCATTGTTATACAATTCCTCCTCACAAGTCCACTCCACTATGCAGCCTTCATTCTGGACTCCTGTCATGACTATGATGTCAAGTTTTATGAACTCTTGTTTTGCTTCTCACATAAATTTTACCAAAACTTCTTCCTTCTCCACCCATGTTTATTGTGGCTTTGTTCACAGTAGCAAGGAGTTGGAAATAACTTAAGTGCCCATCAACAAGTGAATGGATAGAGAAGCTGTGGTATATCGACACAAAGGAATACTATGCTGCATTGAAAAACAAGCAACTCATGCAATATTATTCAAAATGGGTGACTCTGGAGGACATTATGCTGAGTGAAGTATCTCGGTCACAAAAGGACAAATACTGCATGTTGCCACTGTTGTAAAACAGGACTGACATTGGGGTTGGGGGAGGACTGAGAAAGATGGGTTCAATAATATATGCTGCATTGAAACAGATGTGGGAGAAAACTGTTTAAAAGGGATATGTGATTAGGTATTTTTGTCATGACAGGAGTCCAGAGTGAAGGCTACATGGTGGAGTGGACCTGGGGGGAGGGTTTGTAAAACAATGTAAGAATTTTTGTTTTACTTTTACAAGAGGGTAGTGTACTAGGGGAGAGGATTGGGAGGGGAGAAAAGTGCAACAATGAATGAATGGAAATCCAATAAAAAAAGGGGAAAAAAAACAACCAAAAATACTTCTAGCTTCTCATTATTCTTCCCTGTTTTAAAATATTTAGGTGGCTATTCAGCCAAGGGATAAATTTTATGAACGAGTATTTGTGTAGCGTCACACACCTGGGCTAATAGGAAAGATGGATAAAACAGGCTGACCATAGAGCAGTGCAGAGATTTTAGGCTAGACATGGCCATTCCATATTTCTAGAATATTCATGATCTTCGTGGGCAGATATTCAAATGTTTTAAATAATTTTAAGATTAGAGAGTGGAACACCAACCAAATGATGAGATGACCTAGGCTCTTGTTTATGTGTTGAGGGAAAGATGGGTTGTATAGGACCCACCTGTGGTCCCGGGGGCCCGGCTTCACCTGCTGCTCCTTTCTCTCCTTTCTCTCCCTTCAGAGCCTGCCAAAACAAAGCAAGGTTGTCACAAACGCGTGAGTCAAATTTACAACCCACCATCACGCTGGGCAGATGGAATCTCCCCCTCTTTCGTTTTTGATAAATGATAAAGGTAAGTCAGTGATCAGAGGAGAAATTGTTCTTTCTTTAATAACACAAACAGAAAGCTGCTGGTTACTCACAGGGGGGAAACACATTTTAATATGTGTAACAAGCACTGCTCACGCAGGATTTTAGATAAAAAATAAAGTGAGGCAAGATGTTAGGGGTGATTTTAACTGTATTGCCATTGGTGGTAGTGGTTGTTATGTGCCATTGAGTCTCTTGCAACTCATACAAAAGCCCTGAAACCTGCTCTATCCTGTGCCAAATTTACTGTCTCTGACACACCTACCCTCATTACCCGGTCACTGAATCAATTAAAAGATTTCAAACTGAAAAAAAAAAAAAAGATTTCAAACTGCATTCATTCTTCTGTATCTAAGTAATGAAAAGTAGGCAAAATAATGGAGATTGATATTTCCTTAAGTCTACTCTGTGCAATCCTGCTGTCAGCTTCAGCTGATGCCATGTCTCTAACTCTATATGGTTTAGTGACTTCAAGGAGTATCAGGTGGCCACCCACCAACAAAAATCACAAGTTGGCTTAAAAAATATCATCACTTAGGGTGATAAAAATGTTCTAAAACCATCTGTTAGGACAGTTGTGCAACTCAGTAAACATCCAATGAGTGTTTACATTGTACATTTTCAATGAATGAACTCTATGATATGTGAATTATATCCCAAAAGAAACGTCAAAATAAATTATAAGTAAAACTGGTGAATAAGTGTGGTACAATGAACTGATGTGGCCCTTCTATTCAAGCCTCTCATTTTGTGATGAAGTATTTATTGTATGAAGGAGACAGGATTAGCGTGGGACATAAGCCCTACCCCACTGTTGTTGTTGGTAGGTACAAGCATGGCCCATAGTGACCCTTTGGACAACAGATCTGAACCCTGTCCTATCCTGTGCCATCCTCACAATCCCCAACACCCTCAAGCTGTCATTATGTCAATCCAACTAGTTGAGGGTCTTCCTCTCCTTCACTGTCCCTTCACCTTTCCAAGCATGAAATGCCTCTTGAAGGAATAACCTCTCCGAGCAGCATGCCCAAAATATGGGAGATGAAGCTTTATCATTTTTGCCTCCAAGGAGCACTTTGGCTACACGTTCCACAGTACGTATCTCTTTTTCTTTTGGCAGTCCATGGGATATTCGGCGCTCTTCTTTGATACCATAGTATTGAAGTAAGATATCAGTTCTTGTGTCATCCTTAGTCACTGTCCATCTCTTAGATGCATAGCAAGTGATTGAAATGACCACGATTTGAAGCAAGTGCACCTTACTCCTCAAACTGATAACATTGCTCCTCAGTAATTTGGAGAAGTCCCTGACTGCAGACATTCTCAGGGTAATACATCTTCTATCTCCTGACTGCTAAGTGGAGGCCTAAATAAGATCATTTGTTATGCAAAGGCATCTGACTGTGTGGATCACAACAAACTGTGGCTAGCCTTGAAAAGAATGGGAATCCCAGAACACCTGATTGTGCTCATGGGAAACCTATTCTTGGACCAGGAAGCAGTAATTAGAACAGAACAAGGAAACACTGCATGGTTCAAAGTCAGGAAAGAAGTGCATCAGCGATACATCCTGTCTCCATGTCTTTTCAATCTATATTTGGAACAGATTGTTTGGGAGGCTGGACTTTATGAGGTGGAATGTGGCAGTAGGATTTGAGGAAGACTCATCGACAACCTGCATTCTACAGATGACACAGCCTTGCTTGCTGAAACTGAGGAGCAGCTGAAGAATTTCCTGCAGAAGGTGAAGAATTGCAGTTTTCAACATGGATTGAAGCTCAACACCAAGAAGACAAAGATTCCCACCACTGGGCCAATTGGCAGCACCATGAGAATGAGAAAGAGATTGAGATTGTTAACAATTTCAGCTTGCTTGGTTCTACCATCAACACTACTGCACCAGCAGGCAGGAAATCAAGACAAATTGTATTGGGGAAGTCTGCAGTCAGGGCCCTCTCCAGAGTGCTAAAAAACAAGAGTGTCAATCTAGAAACTAAGATGTGGCTGTTTTGGGCCATAGTCTTTATAATTACCTGCTATGCTTCAGAGAGCTGAACTAAGGATGGACAGAAGAATAATCGATGCCTTTGAGTTGTGCTGCTGGAGAAGAGTATTGAAGATATCATGAACCACCAAGAGAACAAACAGGTCTGTCCTAGAGAGGGTTAAACCAAGTTTCTCTTTGGAGGCAAGGATTTTGAAGCTCCATCTCACATACTTTGGTCATGTAACCAGGAGGGACCAGTCCATGGAGAAGGACATAATACCTGGAAGGATGGAGAGATAGGGCAAAGAGGAAGCGAGATGGATTGACACAACAACTAGGATAATGAGGGTAGGGATGTCAGAGACAGTGAGACTGGCTCAAGATAGGACAGGGTTCAGAGCTATTTGTTGCTATGAGTAGTAGGTGACTTGATGGCACCTAACAATAACAACATATAAAGTCATGGACGTTCACTGCTCATGCTCTCCTGAGACCCTCACTCTCCTGGGACACCGTATCCAGTTGCAGGATCCTGGCCCACCACTGAGCAGTCTCTGAAACACTGGCTACATCGCTCACAGTTATGAGAGCCATTTTCTGATGGATTTGAGCTTCTGGGAGACCTTCCAGTGAAACACAGAACCCAAGGGGTGTGGGGAACTGAATGGAGAAGAAAGAGCTGACGCTGGAAGAGTGGAATAGCAAGCAGATCAAACATCTGGGACACTGCTGACTCCCATGACTTAGTAACTAGTCTGCTAAGAATCTTAGCAGAACAGATTGATTGTAAAGACAATAGTATTACTCAATCAAGTGGCTATTATTATTTATTATTTATTATTTATTATTATTTACAATTAATTCTATAGTTATAAATTGAGGGTGATTTGTGTTTCTAGTCAATCTACTCAATTACTGGCCATGCATCCAGGAGCGGAAAAATGACTAAGGATGACAGAAAAAGAATTAATGCCTTCGAGTTGTGGTGCTGGAGAAGAGTACTGAACATACCATGGACCGCCAAGGGAACAAAAAGACTTGTTCTGGAGAGGATGAGACCAATTTGTTCTCTGGAGGCAAAGATTTTGAAACTACATCTCACATATTTTGGGCATGTGGCCAGGAGGGACCAATCCTTAGAGAAAGACACACTTAGAAGGGTTGAGGGTCAGAGCTAGAGGGGAAGACTCAGCATGAGGTGGACTGATACAGTAACTGTGGCAATGGGATCAGTATGTCAGAGGTTGGCTCAGGATAGGGCAAGCCTCAGAGTCATTGAGTCATTGTTCATAGGGTCACTGTGAGTCAAACTTGACTTGGTTTGCATGACAACAAAAGCAAGAGTCAATCTAAAGAGGATATTAGCTCTCTGTCACCTCCCACCTCACTCTCCCTTAAGCACCCTGTATCACCCTAGTGCCTAGCATTGGTGTGTTATATTGTGCATTAACTTTTCGGCGGACACATCCCATTCCGTTCCAAACCCTGGTCCTCACAGCTATCTTAATGCAGGAACAAAAATAAGCAGAAAAGTAAGAACAGGGTCAGAGTGTCCTTGGAGAGGAGTGAGGGTCACAGTGTCCTTGTGGTTACAGTAAAACCCAACCCAATTCATTGCCATTGAGTCAAATGATGTTGATAACAACTTATATGACAGAGCAGAACTGCTCCTAAGTCATTCCCGGGCTTTATATCTGTGGAAGCAGATTGCTGTTCATGTCTCCTGTGAATGGCTGTTGGGTTTGAAATACTGTAAGTTTGGTTAGCAGACAGACACTTAACCATTGCATCACCTACTAAAAAAAGCTCTGTTTGGTTATAACACCCTTCCATCCGTATCATTAGGCCATCATCCTTCAATCAGATCGGAGCCACACACCAATTTTGTTATAAAACACTCATGGGAAACTTTCTCTGCACTAGGGACGATTGGAGTGGACACGGGTATAAGGTGAGCAAAACCAGATGTGGGTTCGGATAGGCTTAGATGTCTCATGGCCACAGCTCTTGCCGAGACAATGACTGGAAGGTGGGAAAGGAATACGACCCTGAGGTTTGGGCTACACAGAGGAGGACTGAGCTGGGCGGGCCTCGAACGGCAGAGCTTTTCACAGAGGGGAAGGACTTTGAAGGACTTCATAAAATCATAGAAGAGTTACCGTTCTGTTGATCGGGGCACTGAGGGTCACAATAACTGCTCCAGGTGGTCCAGGGGGTCCTGTTAATCCTTTCACACCCTAAAGACAAAGCAGCAGGAGTGAAAAACTACACATGAGCATCGTGACCCCGTTCACTAGGTCAACTTTGTCCCTTTAGTTTTCACGCAAGAAGACGGAACAAATCAAAGCTCAGGACACAGCAAACAGTCTGTTTCAAGATGGCTACAAAATAACATGGATGAAATTTAGCATCTCTTGCCTGGAAGAACACCCACTAAACGTATTACTGTCAAATCCATTTCTGTTCATGGCAACCTTCCATCGTGTTTACAAGGGTGTAAGTCTTTGTAGGATGAGACTTCCTATCTTTCTCCCATAGCAAGAAGTAGCTGGTGGATTTGAACTGCCAGCCTTGCACTTATAAACCCAACATATTCCATATAACGCCACCAGGGCTTAAATTACCCGGTCTCCTTTTGGTCCTATCATGTTGTCACCCATGTGGCCCTGGAAGAAAACATGAAGCAAATTACACAATGCATTCATTAAACTGTTGGTATTTTAATTTTGAAGTTAGAATTATAAATGACAGTCATTAGTTCTTAAAGTAGAAGAGCAGCATGTTTATTTTTTTAAAAAGTGGAGATTCAGAAGGACAATAAACTTCAGGGATTTACCTAAAATGATAAGAGACGGCAGACAGAGAAAGAGACTGGCACAGAGGGCTCTCTCATGCAGCTTCCATCTGGTTGACTTGGGTTACTCTTAGTGTTAACTAGGCTAGGCTATGGGGCCGGGCTGTTTGACAAAACGCTAGTGTAGATGCTATTATAAAGCAATGTATGTGATTAAGTTCACTGGCCTAAAACAAAGCAGATTATCTTTAATACTATAGAGGAGTTTTCATCAATCAATTGAAAACAGTGAGAGCAAAGCATCTGCAGACTACAGACATTTTGCCAGAACCCTTATATATGTCATTTTTTTTCACTGTATGACCTATGAATTTTGGACTTTAGCTACTTCCTTGCAGTCAATGATTTTCTTTTCTCTTTCTGAGACATGATTCTACTGACAGTGTATTTGACTTTCTGATGCATGAGGTCGGTTGGTTTTAGGAAGTAGCTCAAGGCAAAAATTCATAGGCTAACACATTTGATAACACGTAGGATTATTGATAATGGGAAACCTATGTGTTCGCAATCCTGAGCATTTCCCACTTTTCTGTATGAGGAACTTCTTATAATTTAGCAAACAATTTTTTTTACCAGGGATCAAGTTACCCACACCCAGAGTCAAAAAGAAACTAGGGGTGGAGGACTGGCAGTCAGAGTCCCATCCCTGCTGGAAGTCCTGTGTGTCAGATGGGTGTCAGGCAGTGCCCACGTGTGGCATCAGAGCCAGGTGGTGTTCCGGCTGATGTGAAATATGAACAGCACTCTACCTTAGGTCCTGGAGGGCCCATGGTTCCAGGAAAGCCCTAGGGAAATCCACAAATTAAACTGAGAGCAGGAGACACACCCAGCCCCAAACACAACTCTGAAAACTTCTTAGCTAAAGTTAACTTGCAATTTACTGAGATTCTAGGCATGATGAGGCCATACTTACAAGGAAGCCTGGAGGGCCGGGGGGACCAATAGGTCCAGGAAAACCGGGAGGGCCTGGCAAACCCTAAAACGAAAACAGAAGTTAGAAGATGTTTCTATTTCTTTTTCACCCAAGAATGGTGTCTGTTATTTGATGGTATTTTTAACAAAATCAGAAAAGCATCACATTTCCTTTCTAAGTCAAACTCAACTCATTGCCATCGAGCTGGAATCAATTCAGAGCAGAGCCTCCCGGGGATTTCTGGGGTTTTTCATCACACAGGAGCAGACAGCCCGTCTTCCACCCACAGAGCTGCTGGTGGATTGCAACTCCCAGAAACGCATGCCTCTGGGTGACCAGTGCACCCCCTAGGGATTGTTCCTTCCTTTTTCAGTTGTTGTTATGTGCTTTGCAGTCAGAGCGAATCACAGCTGACCCATCAGTGCATTTTCAGAGGCTGTAAATCACACACGAGGAGGTTGTCTATCTTTCTCCCACAGAGCAGCTGGTGGATTTGAACTACTGCCTTTGGGCTGGCAGTGTAACTCTTTACTACGAGGCCACTAGAACTCCTTTCCAGGTGAGCAGAGACCAACATCTACATGTAGGATGACTGTTCCCAATCTTATAAGGCTCCAGATGCTTCTCCCCAAACTAGGATGTAGGACAAAAACGTTATGAACAAACATTATGAACTCTGTAAACTTGATTCCATTTGATTAAGTTGTCCCATGACACTGTGTTCCTAAACCTTTAAATGCAGACAACCAATCTCACAATATGGAGAAATGTTTAGTGATGCCTTAAGAATATCCATGGCCTCTGTGTGCTTTATTATGCATGCAGAGGTGGTGGTGATGGTTGTGATGTGCCTTTAGGTCAGAACCAAGCGAGGGCTGACCCTTCATCAGGTTTTCAGAGGTATTAACGCAGAGGAGGACACTGCCCATCTTCCTCCTGCAAAGCAGGTGGTGCATATGAACCATGTGCCTTTGGGGTGGCAGTGTAATTCCTTACCACGAGGCCACCACCGCTCCCCAAGATACATACATGTTTTTGTGTGTGCCACTGAGTTGGAACCGACCCACAGCTGACCCTCCGGTGGGTTTTCAGAGTCAGTTAATCACATGGGAAGAGAATGTCCATCTTCCCCCCCAGGAGCAGCTGGTAGAGGGATTTGAACCATGCGGCTTCAGGATTGCAGTGCAGATTATTACCACTAGGCCTTGCACACTCTCTCTTTGGCTCTCTCCCTCCTGTCTCTCTCCCTTTCTTTCAAAATCCCTCTCTCTCTCTCTATATATATATATACATATATACACATACACACACATATATATAAAAGGTACTATTTTATTACATACATTATACCTACTTTTTATTATATACGATATAGGTACTATTTTTTATGTATATGATATAGGGACTATTTTATTATGTATAAGATATATAGGTACTATCATATATAGGTACTATTATACATG